TACACAGTGAGTCTCGGTTAACGGGCATGTTTGTTCCAGGAATTTGCTAAACTGAGAGATCCGCAAAAAGCGAAACTTATGATCAAATCACGTGATACAGTTAATATAAAAAAAAATATAACGATAATATTAATATATATCACTGTTGACTCATAAATTCATCAATTCGACATTATTTTGCTTCTTGGGCACTTCTATAAGAAATTTCTCTTTTCAACTGCTTTAAAAGATCTTTTACTATGTATGCCATCCGGCCATTACTGCAATGTCAACATCATCCCTGTTCTCCAATGCTCGTTCTCCTTCTGATTTGATAGCTATCGGAGAAACAATGAGTACTTGAAAAATTCCATTATATGTTTGTTGAAGTATCTCTTGCGCTTTATGTGAGCTTTCAAAACCTTTCAGTATCCATTGATTATCTCACACCATGTTTTTTTGGTAGATTGTGCATCTTCAGCCTTGCCTGAACATGGACAAATACCTAGTTGAAGAAAATAAACCAAATCATTACAAGTGTGTACGTGGTAATTATAATTACATTCACAATATTTATTATAAATCATGTGATTTAATTATTGGTATTTTTGCGTAACTTATTACTTTACAAAAAAAAATTTTCCTCCACACACAAGTATAAATTGCATTGTTAAAATGGAAACAAATGTTAATAATCAAATTGATAACAATGGTATTTTATTAATCATTAAACAAATTGTTTATAAAGGTCAAATTTAATATTAAATAATTACATTAATTTCTCAATTATTATAATAAAAAAGAACAAAATTCTACACTTGAAAAATTATTACAACAATTAAAAGATTCAAATGGTATCATCACAATCATCACTACATTGTATCATATTTCATTATCATTATTTTTAATTAATAAAGAATCATATTTAAAATTAATAGATTTAAATTAATTAACTATTTAATTTCCTTATTAAAATTATATTTCATTAATATCAAGGTCACTCAATAAGCTATCACTACTTAAATTTGATTTAGCAAATTCATCATTTACATCATTTAATATTCTACTTGTGTGATATGCTAATGGATGTGATTTGTGAATTTGTTGTGAATTATTACTACTAATACTACTAATACTACTAATATCATTATCATTATTGATAATTTCCTTTGATTTATCACAAGCAAATTCAAAAAGTTCTCCAATAGTTGGTCTCTTGGCTGGATCCACATCCCAACACCTTTGCATCATTTGTACATAATCATCAGGCATTTCTGGTAATATTGGTGGACGTAAACCTTCACATATTCTTAATTGCAAATGAAAATCATGAGCCCTATCATCAAATGGTGGATGACCTGCAAACATTTCCCACATTAACATCCCAACACTATAAACATCAGTTTCTTTTGTATATTTTGTATTACTTTTGCCACCAAGTAGCTCAGGTGCAATGTAAGATATAATTCCATAAATTTTATTTGTTGATTCAACTGGTCCACATAATCCTAAATCTGTGATATAATAACCACCTCCTTTCAATAATATATTACCACTATGTAAATCACAATGAATTAAATCTTTTTCATGTATACGATATAATGCATTACATAAATATCTAAAAATATCAATTTTATCTTTTAATCTTAAATTATAATGATTTATTTTTATATAATCTCTTAAATTTCCCTCTGGTGCATAAGTAAGAACTATTGCATAATTTCCATTTTCTGGGGATTTAGTTATACCAAAACAAGAAACAATTAAATTTGATTTAATTTTACAATAATTCAATGCCTGAAATTAATTACATAAATAAAATCAATTAATTTAAATAAATGGTTTGGTTTAGTTAATTTAAATAAGAACAATTACCTCATCAAAAAAAGGTTTTCCTGGATTATTTGAATTATTAAATGATTTTAATACCACTTGCTGAGATCCAAAATAATTAAACTTCTTTTTATTTTCATCATAGTCATCAATAGATCCTCTTGTCCATACAGCAGTATAAATAGAACTGAATCCGCTTTCTGTTAACTTTTCTATATCATAAAATTGCTCATATGGTATCCATTCTATAATTTGACCTGGAAGAGATGAAAGCTGTTGACACTTTTGAATAAAACTATCAATTATCTCATTTCCAGATGTCCAAGTGCTGAAAAGGCTCTGTAAGTGTAGTCTAATACACTTTTCACAATATTTATCAGAGTATCTTGTTGTTTTACAATTATTGCATTCTCTTGGTTCACCCCATTTATTAGTTGCATTATCTAATTCGAAATTATAAATAAACTTTGCTCTACAATATTCCTTTTCATTTTCTAATAGCTCTTTGTTTTCATTGACTAATTGTAAAAAATAACTTTTAAAATTTTCAAGGTTGGAAATAGTTGGAAAGCAGACTGAGCAATACTACTCATTTCATTATGAATTTTAAGTACTAAATCTTCTCTGTCTTGTGTTAATAACTTAGTAAAGGACATTTTAACTTTTTAATATTTATTTTTTAAATAAATAAATAACTTTGTATTTTTTTATCATATTAAACGTATTTATTTAGTTATTTTTATTAACATACATATATAAAAGGAGAAAAGGTTGCCGTGTTATGGTGCCTTATTTACCCTTTTTTTATATGTTTCCCTAATCTAACGACTTTACCCGATTTTAAAATGTTTGGTTGCACAGGAAATAATTTGTTGTAAAGAAGATTCATGGAGACTTGTAACGATAAATTCAGTTCAGTTATGGTACGAATCACCACGAATATTCTAAACATCCTGTTTTTCAACTTTGATAAACTGAATTTTTGGGGAAGGATGAGACCAAAATCAAAGAGTAAAACTTTGTGATGAGTCTTTTTTTTTTTTTTGCTGCGCTGGCTTGAATGATTTGAACAGAAATATTTTCGTTTCCAAAAAAATAATAAATGGTTGTGGTTATTTTACATCACTATACCGTGTGAATCCCAATTGTTATCTGTTTGTCATGATTTATGAAACTGAAAAACTTATCTGTTTTGGTTCAAAACGTCAGTGTTGAGCGAAACAGATATTTGACTGAAAGGAAATCGTGTTTCACTTTAGATGTTTTTTGCGTGGTGTTGACTGCTGTCTACCGTTAGGTCTTTGTCTTGCTCTGACATTTCGGACTGTTCAAAATGACCAAAAACTGATGGTCTTGTCTTGGAACCTTTACCTTGACTTGTCACACAAACAATATTGTGGATGATCTGGATAGGAAAAGTTTATATTAATATGTATTAGTATTAGTAATTGCCCAAAGATCCAGGGAACTACTGTGTAATTCCTCGATTCACAGTGTCACCAATCAGGATTTTCGTGTAATAATAAAAAATAAAAGCATATTTTCAATTTCTTCAATTCCAAAAAATGGATCACCAATTTGATTTATATAGTATCGAGGTACTAAGGAAAACAGTTCTATTTATGTGTTTATATATTTTATAACAATAAAAAAAAACTTTTTTTGTAAATATAAACATGGGAAGAAGGGGATGAACACCAAGATCCAACTTACTTTGAGACAGATTCCGACGAGGTACTACCTAAAAAATAGTAACTTATATTCTATTCGTGTTGGTTCATAATTTATTTATTATCATTTGTAACTTTTTTATTTAAATTAAAATTTTTTTTCAAACAATCAAGGCGAACCTTTAAAAGAAATCGATAATCATCCATCTATAAGGAAAACCTTAGGTTCAAAAATTAGTGAAAAAATAAATAATGATGTTTTAAAGAAACCTTTCAAACTTCCAACCAAAAAAAAGTCGGGTAGTGATGAGTTATTTATTGAAGAAAATTTAAATGATGATGATTCTATGCCAAATATCATCATAAAAGGTGATAATAAATGTCAATATAAATTATAACAATGCTTTGTAATAATGTGTTTATATATTCATCGATGCTGTATTGTATATTTTATAAATAAATGGCGATTCTATTTGACATTATGTGTGTAAATTCATGCGCAACGTACTAATGTTAATACACAATATATTAAATAAATATTCTAAATACTCATTCTCAATATTCCTTTTACAATATATTAAATAAATTATTTTATGATTATGTATAAATTCATACATAAATAATCGGAATTTTTTGAATTTTATTACACGAAAATCCTAATTGGTGACACAGTGAAACGGGGAATTAACGTATTAATGGAACTCGTTGTATATACAAATTATCATTATTATAATACAAGGGCTAAAATTCATGGTTATACTTTAATTTTTACAAGGAATAAAAATTGCACGCAAATACTTTTGATTTATATTAATATTTTTTTTTAAAAAAAATCAAATAGACCAAACATCTTGACTAATTTGTGAAAAACTACATCATTTGATTTTTTTACAATGTAAATAAAGATATATACATACTGAACCAATTAATCGTTTACAATTTTTTTGCTCTTATAGTATATAATAACCTATATTAATAAAATCAGATGATAAAAATAGAACCATAACTAGCTAAAATGTAAACTCTTATTAATCCAGTTTCAAAACAATTATATATACAACAGATTACAACATTTTCCAAAAATGAATTACTTCTCATATTTTTATTTTTTGCAATTCAAGGAACAATCTTGGTTAAATCGGGTAGGTTTGTGTATATCCGAGTGATTTTTTTCTTCGATTTTACATATAAAATTATGCACAAAGATCATTAGTTTCTATAGATTATCTAATGCAATAGTCAAATTAACGTTTCATTTTTGGTTAATATTAATCATTTATATCATGGCCAAAAAGAGATATCTCTTGTAAAGATGAAACAATTGGACCAGTTTCGAAGTTAAAACAGATATCAAATCAGTCCCAATTTTGAATCAGTTTTGAAAACAAGCATCAAATTGGTCCCAGTTTGCACTAGAGATTGGAATTGATTAATAGGTCAAAAAACGATTAATCAATTAAAAAGATAATTTTTCAATTAATCAGTCAAAGGTTAATTCAATTAATTTTTCAAAAAGTAATGACCGATTAATTGAAAAAATGTTGTTTAAATTATTCTTTTTTAGAAATGTTTGTGCCCAATTTTGGTACATGGAATATTTCTTCGCAATTCAATATTAAGGAAGTTCTAAAAAATCAACTTCAGTCAAAACAACATCAAGTTCAGAATGGAAGTGGCTAATGAAAGGTTGTTTAGTGATGTAGGTAATAATATTACTATAAAACGAACTAATTTAATATTAAGTCCTAACGTTATTAAAGAGCTTGTATTTTATTTATAAATATTGTTTGTTGCACGGATTATTGAATGATTAATCGTTCAAAAAAAAAATGACCAACAAATTTTTGACCAATTCCAATCTCTAGTTTGCACCAACAAGAAACAAAGACTTGCCTTTTTTTATTTTTAGTGGTAGGTTGGTTCTGTTAAAATTCTTAAAGGAAACTACAAAGCTGAATTATCTGTAAAGGACTTGGTATATAAATTCTAAGCAATAATGTTAGTAGTGGTGTATAACGGAGATGAAAAGTTACAACCCAGTCACACATAATTCATATGATAACAAACACAAGGAGACTGGATTGGATAGATAAAGAGGAACTACTTGTTTCGAAACTGATTTTGTAAAAGAGTATTTAATATATACTGTATATATTAAAAATGAACAAATTGGAAGAAATTTTATTTAGAAAATAAGGTAACTTACATAATAAAAATAAATAAATAACTAACTATATATATATATATATAATTCATTAATTAATAGATGACACCTCATCCAATGCATTATTTGGAATTCTTCTGCGAGAACGATACTTCTTTATGGCATATTCTGCAACACAAAGAGACAATCCTTTTCTATATGCATCCATGTATCTGAAGGATCTACATGCATATTTTCTTATAGATGAAATTGGGATAGAGTCCAAGGCCGAAGGTACTGTATTCAAAAGTCCACTCCAAGTGTAATCACAATTTTCCCTTGTATATCTTTTAACTGCACCCCAATACATCTCAATAAAATTTAGTTCACAATGGAACTTAGGGTAGAAGATCACCATATGTCCCATTTCTTCAATCTCTTCTTGGATGATTCCTTTTTGTGCTTGAAAATCAGGTTGTAGTTCTAATATTTTCAAACCACAACAATCTGACTTTCTATTTTGATCCCTTGTTTTCTTGGTTTTACACTCGGAACATACCTTTCTCAATCCATCCCTATACAGTCCCCTTTCTACTAATATTGTTCTCGTTCCTTTCTGCTTACCATCAGGATCAACCATCTTTTGTTCAGCGCCATCAAATACAGTATCTCTCATCTTTGGTTGGCTTCCACCATCATTCCAATTCATTTTAGATGCAACTAAAGCATCATTGGAGAAGGCAGCATGTGAAGTTGCATTATCAAATGCAAAAAGAGCTGTGCAATTTGGGTGAGTGGCATTAAATATTGGTATCACTTTACTTATTATTTGATCCTTTAATTTCTCTGTTGTCCACCATCCTTCATTGTTTGATCCTATTTCAAGACATTCATGACTTTCTTTGGGTAATTGGGGATATTGTTGTTGTTGTTGTTCGCTGAGATGTAGTCTGCCAATTGTTTCTGTCAAAAAATCACTAACATGCAATCCTCTTCCTTTACCTTTTTTTTTAAAGGCTGTTCACCTTTTGGCTTCCAACCTCGGTTTTTCCCATCATTTGCATGAAAAATAGATTCATCATGTGTTACTAGAATTCTCATCTTAACACCAACTTCTAACACAGGATCAACTTGTTTTTCTAGATCATTCCCTTCAAAGTGAAGAGCATAAGGTTCGTATTGCTCTTCTATAAATTTTAGAAATTTTTTTCTATATTCTACAACATCATCCCTATCATGACCATCAGCATAAAGTCCTTTTTCATGGGTGCCAAACTCCCATCCTAATTTTTTAAGCCATCTTTTTGCTATTGATTCGGATGTTTTTTTATCTTCATTATCCACTCCTATATTTGGCAATATTGTTTCATTGACATGCTTACATAAATTTTTAAATGTTATATCAAATTTCTTGGATCGTACATAACTTCCTACTTGATCAGCAATGTCTTCATGACTCCATAGGCTTTACATCTTGGGATGCTTCCCTCTTTTTGAAGTAGGTGCAGTTTTATTTCTGATCCATTGTTTGGCCCAGGCTCTAATGCATTTACTTTTATAATTTTTTGTCCACCCCAGAGATACTGCCACTATCTTACTTGTTTCAACCTTTTTTTTACCATTGTCTAAATTTCTAAATACATCCCGATTGCTGTTGATCTAGACTTTGTATCATTGTCTAAATCAGGGTTTCTAAGAGCTTCTTCAACAGAACCTATTATATTTATCCAGTTATCATCTTCATCTTCATCTTCGTCATTGTCATCATCATCAAGAGATTGTTCTCTATTAGGAGTTTGAACACCAAAAAATCCAGTAATTTTAGAAGATCCAACTGCTGCAATTTTCAAACCTCTGGCACGTCTTTGTTGTGTCCTGATTGAACCCCCCGCATAAAAAGTACTGCTTTTTTTTGTTGAAGTGTAAGTCTCATTTATAATGGTAAAAGTTTCAATTCGATTCATATTCACATCCTCCCAGGGTTTATCATCATCAGAACTTGAGTCAGATTCAGATTCAAATTCGGGTTCAACTTCAACTTCGGGTTCAGAACTCAAATCTTCATTTAAATTCATTACAACATCATCGCTGGTATTTGGGTAATTATCTACATATGTTGGATCACTGATTCGTCTTCTGTTTCTGGTTAGATTTGCAATGTGAGTTTGTCTTTTCTTAGATTGGCCCATCTTAAGATATTGATATATTTGAATTGGGAAAAAATATATATATGTAATGTTTAAATCGGGAAAAAGAATTTTGATTTTTAACAAAGAAATTTGATTTTTAGTAATAGTAATAAAAAAGAATTTTGGTTTTTATGCACTTGCTATATTATTAAATTTTTTTATTGGTATAGCTTGGTAAAAACATCTTGTATTTATATTGATTTAATCACTTCTTTAGTTCCCAATTTTATTTTATTTTATTTTCTTTAGAATTACATAAATTTCTTTAGATTATTACATGATGGTTTCGGGTATAATTTTATTTTTATTGATAACCAAAAATAAACAAATATACTTTTATTATTATGCTAGAATAAATCCATTTTGATGTTTATTGATTAAAATACCATAAATACAAGATGTTTTTTAAAACTCGATATTTCAATTTAATCAAATAATAAAATCTAGATTAAAAAAAAATCAATTTTTTATTGCTATTTAAAAATGCTTAATCAACAAAAACATCATAGAAAAACTGTTAATGAAAATTGGTTTCATGATTATACATGGTTAGAAAAAGATGAAGAAATTCTAAACAAACTGTTTTATTTTATGGTATTAGTTATTCCTGGAATGTGTATCAATTAGATCATTGAAGACTACAATCAACTGAATTGTTTTTCAGTTGCAACTTGATTTTGGCATAAATTGATATAATCAATTTCGGCTGTAACATAAATAACCCAAAAATGGAATGATAATCTGACCATATTCATTATACAGTCGAAGATAAAACAAATATACATGATAAACTGATGTTTTTTTATTATTTACCTATATAATTATCCAATAAATCATAAATCTTTGTTTACATTATAAAAATCAATCATGAATACCATTTTGGTACTACTTGCCATAACCCTTGCTATTTTTTGGTCTATTTATGTATATGTTTTTTGGCCACGAAATAGTTTATTTTATGAAAAACTACATCATTGTACAAAAGGATGCTAGGATGTTTCGCATCCAACTATTTTTAGGAGGTCTTTAGACCAAGCCAGCTATATATGTGGATAAATTCTGCCCTTGACGATCTTCAAAAAACACGTGACTAAATTTTTTATTGCATTTTTGATTGGAATATTTTTTCTCAAAATTGGCGTCATGGCACAAAACAAAGTTCAGCGACTAAGTGACTTGCACTATATATAATATAAATATTGGAAAAATATGAATTCAAAAGTTACGGTTACACCGATCATAAACATTCCATTTTAACTCCAACAAACAAAGAGTTAACTATCTAATTTTTAATATGAAAAAGAGAAATGGATTTAATATACTTTTTAAGATTAAATTATTTTTACTTTCTTCTAGTCAAAACAATCAAAAGCCTCAAAATGACACAGTTGAGCCAATTGTTGAAGTGATCGGTTCACCTATTATAAAGGAATTATTACAAAATCCTTTCATTGTTGATAATAAGCAGGATAATGTTTAATCAAAACCACCACCACCATCACCAAATAGAGGAGCTTTATTTGATAAGGAATATAGATTTGCACAATTTTTGTAAGTATGGAAGAAATATTTAATTGATTAATTACGTATTTTAAAGCCATGGACATCAATATTATGTACCCCTAGATTATTATAATCGCTATGATGATTTAACGTAAATCAATCAATTACATATTTATATATTTATATACATTGTTGAGGTTTTTATTTGTTAATCTAAATGATTGGTTGCTCTTGTTTATTATTAATATTAATACAGATGGGCGTCTAAATTGTTTTAGGATATGTCTTAAAAGTCATAAATATTTAGTATCAGACAAAATGACAAAATATCAAAAATGTCCAAATATTGAAAAAATGATCGATTGCGATGGATGATACACAATTTTGTTTACCCAAAATTTTGTATATATCTCAAAAATGTTGTGAAATTGATAAAGAAAATTATTGAAATATTATGTTTGCTGTCTTGCTTTACTATCTCGTAGGATCTTGGGAAATATTGACCTTGTCAAATCAAGTAAAGTCTGACCCAAATATTTAAATTAATATTTCATTTCCCATTTGGAAATATTGCATAATAAACATATGAAAGCATTTTGGATGGTTCTGACCTTTAAAAGGCGACAATTATTTGGTTATTATCTGCTATGCATCGTTTAATTAAAAATACCAAGAAGACAAATCAATACAACTATAACAAAAATATCCACGTTGTTTTGAATCACTTGGTGATAAAGGTTCATCATTCTCCGGTTCAAACACTCTATCTAAAGAAATAGCAAAATCTGACTTTGGTAAATAAACGCCGAATATTAATTTTCGTTGTGTTATTTTTATAATTTGCTCAGCAGCTTAGAATAAATTATAATAACTAAACATTTCTGTTTTGACGCAATCTCCTTTACTGGTAATATAAAAATCTTTGTCATGCCTATTCCCATTTTTAAAGTTACTCGAGAATCAGTTTCTTTGAATAATTTCAAGAAAATCTTTTATTTGTTTCATCGATGTCTTTTTTATAAGGTTTATAATATCAACTGCTATTATTATTATATCGTGAGATGCTGGTGATTCAGTCCCACCAGCCTCCTTATCTTCGATTGTTTAAACAATGGCGTATTCAACTTCCTTAATACAGTCGGCACTCGAATAGTGAACCTAACGATTTGGTTTTTTGGACCATTTTTTCAAATCTTAAATCTTACTGTGTCTCGATGTTAAACACGAGTATTTTTAATGTGTAAACTGGTCAGTAGAATGATAATTAAGAATTCTAATAAATTTTATTTGCTCCGCTAAAAAAACTATTTTATTATTCAACAGCCTGTCAAACCAATGGCCCTAACCTCAAAACCAATGGGTTTTTGCTAGTATAAAGTATTCATAATAATAACGTTATGATCATACCGTACTGAATTTCGGTGTTCAAATAAAATCAGCGCATATGTATATATAGTGAATCGTATAATATAAGGAAGTTGAAGATTTTCCCATTTGATTACATATAAACTCTCCTTGATATAATGATCTTAATATAAATCCTCTATATTAAATAAAGAAAAAGAAGAATGCATTAGAATCAATCACTAAAATTTGATGGTGACTTTTTGTTGATGTTAAAGTTGTTCTTTAAATAATGCAATTTTATTCAAGATTTATTAGTGCGAAAAGAGCGCGCATTACCATGATTATGACAATAATAGATAATCAATGATCCTATATATGGAAATTTTAAACCCTCCATTAATGTTTTTATCACCAAAAAAGAGTATATATATCATCAGGATCTTAAAAATTAAATTTACATCGCGTTGATTTGCATTTATCAGCTATATTCTATTGTACTACTTTTAAATTGAGTTGTACAACTTTAAATATCGATTAACATCACGTTGTTTAAACGAAACAAGTGAAACCAGTGAAATATATATATGAGAAAATTGTTTAATTTACTTCTATAAAAAGAAAGCAATTTCCCGGAAAAAAAGATTGATTTGTAAAATAAAGGTATTGTTGATGATTAACCGTGTCATTGTTGCTAATTAAAGAATGATCTTCGAGGTTTCGAAATACTAATTACAATTATAAATTATTATTTTAAAAAAGCTAATTCTTTCTTACGACAAATAGATCAAAACTAATGTGAAATATATTGTTCTTAGACTTGTCAATTAAATTCATTGAAGAAATTAAAATATGGATTTTCTCTTTTGGTGGATATTTAAGGAATTACAGATTGTGTGACAAGTCATTTCAAAAAAACTATTTAAATAACAAGTCAAAGAATCAAATTTAAAACATTTGGAAATGTCATAACCTTTCCCACGAAAAAAGACCCCCATCCTCTATATTATTATATTACTTATCTTTTTTGTCGTTATTTAATCCTTTCCTTGAATATGAGCACCATTGTTTCCACTATTGTATCGTATTTATTAGAATATTCGCGATGATTACGCAATGCGTATTATAATAATTGCATCATTCAAGTATAAATGATACTAGGACCATGCAAAAATGAAAATTTTAACATTTGGGATATAAAATCTTGATATTTATTTTTGTTGAGTTTTAATCTGATGGTTCCATTGCATCGTCGTCTAATTAGTTCCTTCTTTTTTGTGTATGTGTGTGTGTGTGTGAATACGCGCCTCCCAATTGCAAGTCGTATATAGATCCGAAAATTTAAATAAATAATAAATCTGATTGACTATTTAGGGTGTCAGATTTAAATTAAAATCTTCCTTCTACAAACATGCAACCGTATCTTCATATCCATGGAAATTCTTCAGGTAATAATATTGATGATTATTACCCTTAATAAACTCTTCCATGGGTAAAGCGATTAGAACATGTTAGTAGGCTTTGATCGAATAAAAGGCTTTAACAGCCGTTATTCATTGAAAACAACTCGATTTCAAGGCTTTAACAGCCACAACTCAATTTTTAGGCTTTAACAGCCGTCATTGACAACAACTCAATCTCAGGGCCATGGCATCCCCCCCTGAAAAATTTAAATCGCGTCATCGTATCTTCGGGGTCGTCAGTCAGATTAGCCTTTGTTACCCAGGAAGATAAGAACAACTGTAATTTTTAATAATCAAATATCGTCTTTTGGTGTTTCCAGACTGTTCAAGGGCAGGTTTTCCATCTTCAATACTTTAAAAAAAAATATAATAGTTTATTGAAAAATAAATATTATGACAGTTGATTTAAAATGAGCAGATATAATGTTTTGAATAATAATACAGTTAGATTTAAAATAAAGTTGCTTTTTTTACCTTATAATAATTAATAAACAAATATACCGTTATGATAAAAGAGCGAATATAACTGTCATCTAAAATTAAAGCCCTTACGTGGAGCAAAAACAAAAGGAAAGGGGTTACTCCTTAAAACAATAATAATAATTAATATTTTTATTATTGAGTCGTGTTCGTGTTTAGTATATAGCTTACTTTATTTTTGTGCGACGGCAACATTTAACAATTTTTTATTATATATAGCCTGTGACATACAAAATTTTTTCATTACGCAATGTTGCATGTTTACGTGACACAAAATCCTTACTATTTGATTTTATTATTTGGTCCCCAATGAAAAAATTTATTTAATAAAACAAAATTTACAACTCAAAAATTTTTTTTTGCATGTAATAAAATTCCATTATTAACTATTAACAATCTAATTATATAGATCTTAACTGATCAAACCCGCCTATATAGTTATAGAATAATTAATAAATAATAAAACATTAATTAAATATATTCTACAAACAGCTTCGTAAATCTCGACTTTAAGACTTACTTTGATTAAACCCGCCTATAATAATAAACATTCATTTTGGAAACTTGATTTGCAAATAGACCTTGACTTAACACTTACTTCTACCAAGCCCGCCTATATAATTATTTGAATAATTGATAAAGCGAAATTACCCGAGGGTTGAAAAGACCAACAACAACGATGATAAGAAATCCCCACGCAAAGCATTAAAATCCAAACATCTGGATTTTGAGGAACAATTCATGAGTTCCAACAGCAAGAGAAAGACCACAAATTACATCAGGGAGTCGGATAAAAAAAGAAGTCCAGACAATGACCCACAGGAAGAATCAAGCACACCAAGGGCAACGAAACTGGTACATACAATGAACGAAGTTGTCAGCAACAATAAAGGTTATACGGATGCAGTAGAAAATTCATACAACATTGAAAATGATGGTGATAATAATGAGAATGAAAC